ACAGCGTCACCGCACCTCCTCCCGACAGCGTCACCGCACCTCCTCCCAACCATCAACATGGAAGACATCAGCTCTCTTCCTGCTTCGTACGTGTTGTGGAGGTCCAGATATCTCGGGAAACTAAACCTTCTTGTCTGGTTCATGACATCATCTGAGGAGCTGCGTGGAGTTCATGGAGCGGTCTTCACTGTGTCTATTTACTACAGCTGTGTGAACAATAGACCGATAAAAGGGATGCCGAAATAACTACCTAATGATGCTCGAATTCACGTCAATCACGCCATCGCCAATGCACGTTTCTCCGGTCTCATCTCGTCTGTGCGATGTGATCTACTCACCACGTTTGGTGTGAACGCACCTTAACAGCGTCTCACCTCCTCTCTTTATGACTCCGTCTACACCAGATTCTCTCCCCGCTCTGAGGTCATGACCTCAGCAGCTGACGATATGTTAGCCCCGCCCCCTGTCCACAGCTGAGCCTCGCCGCCTGCCCATAGCGGAGCCCCGCCCCCTGCTGCTCATGCCCTCCATAACGGTGATGATGGAGATCCCCGGTTAAGATCCGGTGAGTCTTCGGAGGCTCCGCTGTGCTGCAGGACACCAAGACATCTGTTAAAGTCTCCGTCTCACATTAATCATCCTTAATCACATTTGCTCTTAACGAGACACACACTTCTCATCCGGCCCCCGTCCTCTATCAGGAGCTCTTCATCATCATCATCACACACTAGATCTGTTGTTCTTCCTGCTGAGCATAAAGGGTGTAAGGTGTTAGGATGTAAGTGATGAAGCCTCCTGGACTTCTGAGTGAGACGTTGATGGATGAGACTCTCGGCTTCCTGCTGCTGTAACGATGTCTCCCTAAAGGAGGACGACTCGTCTAAACATTATACCCACTACGGGTTGATGGAACAGGGCTCCATGTTTCCTCCACTTGTCTGCTAATAAGAACACGAGTGACAGGAAGTACGGGGGTCGTTCTCGTGACACGACATTGTGACCCGGAGATCGATCCCTCCATCCGGAAGGACGTCCCGATTCCTCAAATGCATCTGGAGGAGCGAGGAGGTGTTTCCTTTTGAGGAAGTGTTTTCATCCCATAAACAAATAGAAGAGGAGTGACACACAGCTGGACAAACCTCCTCCCGACAGCGTCATTTAGATATAAAATGTGTTCCATCCGACCGTTGATGTCACATGAGAACACGGTTTAAATTGAATTAATAGTAAATATATAAGATATAAATTGTCATGAACAGCGTTATGTCTCGTTTGTTAAATACCTGTTGCCTCGACTCCTCTTTCCTCGTGGCTCCTCCTCCGCTTGCATCTCTCGTGAGCGGGACAAGACGCGAGGTAAGGAGGCGAGGAAAGGACTGGAGGAGGCAGCAGACTGACTGTTTCCTCTGGTGTCTTCCAGGCGGTGATGGCCAGTGACTTTGCTCTGCCACGGTTCCGGTACCTCCAGAAGCTCCTGCTGGTCCACGGTCACTGGTGCTACTCCAGACTGGCCAACATGATCCTGTTCTTCTTCTACAAGAACGCAGTGAGACTCGTTCCCTCCCGTGTGTCCTCGCCTCACAGCGTCAACCGTTCAACATCTGTTCAATATCATCACTCTATTGTCTGATTTAAATACTTCTCTCTTCTGTGTGTGAGTTGAGAAGAGGTGAACAACATCATCTTTATGTCCCGTTAAACAACAATCAGTCTGTGAAACCAGGAAAACGTTTTGTCAGAATCATTTCTCTAAATTCCTTAATTTGTTTCTTATTGTTGTAATTTACGTAACGTAACGCACAATATTTCTACGTCGTGTTCAGAGTTCATGGAGGAATTAAAACCTGGAAGAAAACATGAATTCTTTCAGTTCTTTGTAGAAACACGTGGTTGCGGTGCTCTTCAGCCTCCGGTGGACACCATGAGAATTACAACAACAAACACCTTCTGTTCCCTCAGATGTTCGTGTTGCTCATCTTCTGGTACCAGTTCTACTGCGGGTTCTCGGGTTCGGCCATGATCGACCAGTGGTACCTCATCTTCTTCAACCTGATGTTCTCCGCCTTCCCACAACTCGTCACCGGCACGCTGGACAAAGACGTGTCGGCAGAGACGCTCCAACAGCTACCTCAGCTCTACGTGAACGGACAGAACTCTGAGGTTTACTTCCTGTTAAGAGATCTGCGTTTACAGGAGCTAGTGGAAGAAGAGCTTTATCTTAACATGTACACCTGGTGTATATTAGCATGCTAACACATTACACCTGCTTAAGCATCAGCTTGTTAGCATTGAGCTGACTCTAGTGCTGAGCCTCAGTGTGTTTCCTGACTGAGACTCTTCGTCGTTGCAGGAATATAAGCCGTACATGTTCTGGATGAACATGATCGACGCCTTCTACCAAAGTCTGGTCTGCTTCTTCATCCCTTACTTTGTGAGTTTTCCTTTAGCAGTCGTTCATAATGCTGCAAACACCAAAATCAAATCTGCTACTTGTGTATTTATGTATTTAATTGTACAGTGTTTCTGTAACATTGCATAATAACTAAACGTTGATTGATGTGATCTGGTAAATAAATAAATGAAAGAATAAATAAATAAATCGGCTCTTCACTTTATCTCCTCTCTTCCTCCTTCTCCTCTTCCTCCTCTTCCTCCCTCTCCTCCTCTCCTCTCTTCCTCCCTCCTCCTCTCCTCCCTCTCCTCCTTTTCCTCCCAGGCCTACGCTGACTCTGACGTGGATCTGTTTACATGGGGGACTCCCATCACCACCCTTGCTTTACTCACCATTCTGGTCCACCTGGGCATTGAGACCAAAACCTGGGTAAGAACCTGATGATAACTCGTCTCTGTCTCTCTCTGTCTCTCTCTGTCTCTGTCTCTCTCTCTCTCTCTCTGTCTCTCTCTCTCTGTCTCTCTCTCTCTCTCTGTCTCTCT